CCCCCACTCTCTTTCGCTCCCCCACTCTCTTTCGCTCCCCCACTCTCTTTCGCGCCCTCTCTCTCTTTCGTGCCCTCTCTCTCTTTCGCGCCCTCTGTCTCATGCCCTCTCTCTCTCTGTCTCACGCCCTCTCTCCCTCTCTCGCCCTCTCTCGCTGTCTCGCGCTCTCTGTCTCTCGTGCCCTCTCTCTCTCTCGCGCACGCCTGTCTTTCTCGCACGCTCCCTTTCGCACCCCCTCTCTCTCGCGCCCTCTCTCTCGTGCGCTCTCTATCTTCTCCAAGATTATGTCTCGCTCGCTCGCTCGCCCCCCCAACACTCACTCTTTTTCCAACACTCGCACTCTCTCTCCCTCTCTCACTTTCTCCCTCCAACTCTTTCTACTCTCCCACATGTTCTGTCTCTTTTGCTCTCGTGCTCGTTCACTCCAGCTTTCTCTCTATACAACTCTCTCTCTATCAGCAACCCACAGCCCACCACAGAGCCCCAGCCCAGACCCAGCATCACCCTAGAAAGAACCATTGGAGGGGTAACTTCCCCAGAGATTCAAGCCATTCCATTGACTGCATCTCTGTTATTGAGTTGTACATGATGGTGCAAACTTGCCTTCTGCTCATGTGTGCTCTAAGTGCTGCCACATGATCACATGAGCCTGTGGAGTGTGGCCTCTGTGATTAGCAGCATTTGCAGTCTCTCCTGCAGTCCCTGGGGCTCATGCCTCCCGTGCACCGAGGAAGTAATTCAATGAAGTTGGCATAAGTTAGCACTCCACATCCATCCAGATCCGAGTCCCCATTATTCAGTCTTCCCAATCCTGATGACTGCTACCCCTCCTTCCTGGTCACATGCTGTCTTCCTGGCTGCCCATTTCTCTTTTTGGATATTCCCAAGGATCACTACTTGTCTAGCAGGGGTTGGAACTTTGAATCCTCTTCACCCACAAGCTGCTTCCTTTCTCCTCAATAGATGTGGGTTTTTTGGACATGAGGTTATTCATCTGTGAACCAATTAGCACTGTATTGGAAGCCTATTCCAGTTTAGGGAATATCAGAGCCAAGACAAATGCATGCATGTCATAAGTGATTTACTGGAGAATGTACAAGAACACTGGGCGAATGTTTCCCTCATGACCTTGAGAAGAATGACACTGAATGTAGTTGTGATTGGTGAGCTCAGTGCAGACCAGACATCAGATCTGCTTTCTTCTTGACTCTGATCTCGTTTGCTACCTGGAGAAATTCAATATTTGGAGGAACCGCAATTTATCTGCTGATTGGCAAATTATAGTGATGCATTGTATTAGAATGCAAGATTTTAGGTTTGGTACCGCATATATTGAGACATTTAAGCCAGTCTGTTTTACTATCATTATAGAATGTTGGTGAGCAGGGGTTATGAGTTCACAAGGTGTCACAAATGAGCTATTGACCTTCACAAGTGAGAAGTGCTAAATGACACATTCTGAATCATTTGCGCACAGCCTGTTAACACTTCTTTTTAAAAAAAGATGTAATTTATAAACTTCATCTGCTCAGCCTACACACATATGTGAATAAATTTAAAAGTATAGACATGGTATTCTCTCAATACATACACAATTATTACTGCATTATGAGACATTGGAAAATAAATGATTAAACAGAAAGATGGTGTAAATATTGAAGAGGGCTGATTTTGACTCCAAAATGAGGACACTTGATCTTTAATTTTTTTTAAGGATTTGCAAGAAAATGCACAGCCTATCACTGATGAAAAATACAGGAGTAATTGAGACGGTTAACTAATTGGACATAACTGTATCTGACGTCCTATTCCTAGAGAGTTTTGAAGGAGCAATCCTTTTCGGCAGTCACAAACCATAAAGGGAACAAAATAGTCCTAGGAAAGTCGAGAGATAGAAGCCCAGTCCAGAAAATCTTCATTATACAGCATTTTAATGCAAAGTGTAGCTTTCCTAATTAGTGTGCTTTTTGTATGCAGACTGTTGTTTTATCATTGACCTAGAACAATCAGTGACACCTCCATTATAATGCTTAAAATGCAGAGCTTCACAATGAAAGTATAGGTTTGGTTATTTTGATTATTTCACATCAACATTTACACAAGGTACATAGGTTGAAAATGTACTTCAACCAAGGCTGGTGTTTAATTGTCTACAACAGTTTTATGACTTGTTTTGAGTGTTCTTTTCAACTCATTGCATTCTTTTTTGGCAAATGGGACTTATTCAGTACAATTTCTGTTGCTAAATGAAGAAAGTACATGTTCAATAAAGGTAACAAGGTTTCAAAAGATTTAATATGGAGGAAGCTAGTATCAGCAAATATCATCAAAATCACTGAGGAAATGCAATGTTAGTTTGTATCTCTGGCAATAAACGTTAAAGACTTTTCCCATACAGGTTAGAATAAGATTGAATTGCTGAACAGAATATATCTGAATGTTTTGTAGAGGGGCTTTTTCACAAAGTTGTATATTTTAATAGCCAAACATACCAATTCCTAAGTCTGCTATTTGATATCTCCATACAGAGAAGCCTGGTTGATGAACAAAAGTTTTGGTTGAAGAACAGACCTTTTCATCATTCTCATTCTTAAACACTACTTTAATAAATGACGCATCATGGACAGTACGTCCTGAATCTTCCTGAAGAGAACGCACATTTTCTGTTCGCAGGTCTGGCAGCATCTGTGCAGAGAAATCAGAGTTAACATGTCAGGTCTGGTGACCCTTCCTCAGAATTGAGGGGTTCTAAGGAAGGGTCACTGGACCTGAAACGTTACCTCAGATTTCTCTTCACAGATGCTGCCAGACCTGCTGAACTTTTCCAGCATTTAAAATTCCTTTGGTTTTTGCACATTTTCTCTTTATGGTGTCACCAGACAACATAAAATTCTCCCTACTTCATGCACTCTGTAAATATTTCAAGCACAATAAGCAAAGTCAAACCAATTATCCTAAATGTAATTTTGAAGGATCTTTTGAATTGTTAACAATCTGATTTGAAGTAATTTTGTCTTTAGATCGAAAAAGTATTTTCCAGTCAAATATAATGTTGCTCATTAGTGACTACACTAGAGTAAATAATGAACAAGATGTGACACCAAGGTTGCATTACTTCTAATTTCTAAACTTGACTCCTTTTTAAGACAATGTCATGGTCAGATAAAAGGGCAGAGCACTCTTTATATGTGCATAACACTCTTGAGGACCACAGTGTCAAGGGCATGTTACTCAAATCCATTTTTGTTGCTCCCTGCCAACACAATAAAGCATCCATTGGGAGACTTGAGGGATTGGTAAGATGTTTAATCATAAAAGATACAGTAGTCAAGATGAAAACAATTTGCTTGTTTGAACACAGGAGATGTGCAATAAAAGATTAGTATCTCAAACAAACAAAGGAAAATGAATTCTTTCTTCAAGATTTGATTATAATTTTCACAGCTGCTTTGTGTTTCCCTTGGTATTGCTCAAAAAGTTTATTTTTCTGCCAATATAAACATGTAATATTCTCAATTTGAAATATCATTAGCAGCACTGCATTACTAAGATTCATAGTTTATAAATTTTTTTGCCAAACACGCACTTTGATACTTGAACTAAAACATACAATCCAAACATTATTCAAACATTACGAATTCTTCATCATATAAGTTTGAGTAAATTTGTTTCACCTAATGCAATGAAACAACTTCATGAATGCATTATTAACAGCACTTTAGTATTGTGTAGTTTGAAATATTGACCTTATGTACTGACAAGATCAGGAAAATGTTTAATTATACTTGGTTTTCAATACATATACAAACCAAATAAAATGAAGACTATGTTCCACATTGAAATTGAGAATGGATCAAGACATATAGACAGAAAACACACACTTGCATTTTGTGCATTCAGGATAACTCAAAGTGTTTCACAAACTCAGTTTTGTTTTTAATCTTTCTACACAACATTTCCTTTGTCCAGCACGCAAGCAAAATACAACAGTTGTCTACTTGTATGCCTTTATTATGGCCATTCATCAATTCTCAAAAAACATTTTTTAATAAATGTGGTGGTTCGAGGCAATGTGATTGTACATGATCAGTTCATTTCTGACACATAATTGCATTTACTATTTGACAGTCCTAGCTTCAGACAATGTGATTACGGTGAGTGGACTAACACCAGAAACCATGTATAATCTGCGATTATCTGCTATCAATGGAAAGGGAATCGGTGATGCCAGCCAGATCGCTGAGTTCAAGACAGAGCCAGTTCGTAAGTACATGACGGTTCTTTCATCACACAGTTTAAACTGCTCATTGCAGAGTTGCTTTGAATCAATAAGAAAATGCGAATTAAACCTGTAGACTCATTAGCTTTATCATTACTCATGGAAAAATATTTTCAGGAACTATGGGTCTGTTTCTGTGCTGTACATCTCTATGACTCTATTACTCTGAGATAGAATTGATCCTCCGGAATGAGATGCTGTTGCCGTGTAAAATCAAATATAACTCAGAATGTTGCTACTATTTCAATCAGAATGTATTCACTTAAATCATGTTGCTAATATCTGATTGTCAGTCTTTCCTGCATTGTTTACAGACGAATCAGCACAAGGTTTTCATATTTAAAGTGTTAGCTCTTTTTTTTCCCTTAAGAGATCAGGACAGAGTGAAGATTGAGGCCTTACAACCATTGGAACAAATACAACATTTTTTTTGTTCAATGTTCATATTACTTGTACAAATAAGATATTTGCTGAGTCATAAATACTTCGAATTTTATTGATTGGGAAACTTCAAACTTCGACTTAGCTGCTTGAGAAAAGTGGTTAGCTGAAGTCAGGGCCATTTTCCTTTTGGGATTTTGGTTTATAATCCGTATTGAGAAAGGAGTTGAAGGGCTTTTCTTCCTGATATAAAATATTTTGCCAAATTGACTTTGTTTTAATAGCTAATGTTGGTTTCACTCATAGAAATGTAAATTTTCAAGGTATAAATGGAGTGTTACATTGATGCAACCAGATGCATTCTTTTAAAATTGGATCGTACAGGGAAAACTGGCATTCACATTTACTGCAGCATAATTAATATTTTTATTATTATAATACATTCAACATGTAAATCCTCATTTAAAGCAAACTTGAAAATTCCATTTTCTTTTTATATTGAAAACTCTGTTTAATTTGTTTGACAAATGCATGTAAACACTCAAAGGAAGTATTAATTAACCGGCAGTAATTGCATAGTAGAAATAGTGAACAGAAGAACTAATTTCGGTGTTTCTTTTGTTTCGAACATCAGAAATAGTAAACCTGGTTTCAAACAATGCTTGCATCTTCTTAGCTAATTCCTGGAAGTACTTTCTTCAAACACTTCAAAAAAAAAGGCAAGAAATGAGTTGTACATTCCAGTGATACGACTGCAGCATTAATTGTTTAATTGGTATATTTTATGGACCTGAAAATCTCATAATTTACCAGCATGGAAGCAGATGGTGATATAAACCCAGTAATGCAACACTGATGGTCCAAACTCCCTATTTATTATGTATATATTATTTAATTATCTAATTATGTGATGGTTACAAAGCAAGTTTAAAGAAATCTATGAAATTAATTTGATCATCAACTCGACATTGGCAAAATTAGTGAAGGATAATGTAATAGGTTTCAATTTCATTGGTAATCTTCTGTTCTTGTGATACCTGCATGCTGCAGATACCTGAGACCTGTGAAATGAAATGCTCTCACCTGTCCTCTGTTAACCACAGTAAAACACATGGACTAAGTAACTAGTGAGAAGAAGGCAGTTGCTATAATGTTAGTTTCCAATACTGCCGCAGTTCATCATGTAGAACTACACTGAGTCTTATTTAAACGTTATATTTAATTAAACACTAAAGTATATATTCCTCAATTTATTACCACCATTAATACTTCCAGAGCTGGAAATGTCAGCATTTGATTTTGATAATGAAGAGTAAATCTGCTTGTTCTAATCACTGCTGGCCCCACAAATATTGGAGTAAACTCTGTTTCATTTCTATCTTTAAAACCTCATTCTTTTGTTCTGAATTATTTATATTTCATCCCACTTCATGTCTTTTCTTTTTCTTTCCATTCCTCTTATTGTCATCTGTGTCCATTGCAATGGAAGCAGTATTCACTGGTCAGCCAAGTAAGTTCATCCATAAATCCTGTCTCTCTGTCTGTTCATGATTAAGGTTTAGCCTTGTGATGTTTTTAGCCAGTGCAATGCTTTATCATGAGACTGAGTGGCACAATAGGCAGGCATGCCAATTCTTAGAGCAAGTTCATTCTTAGGCCATTGTTCAGATGGTGACATTCCTTCCTCAGATCAACCTACCATGTGGGCTGTGTTCCCTCGGAGCACGAACATTAAAAAGATATGGGCTAATTATATGCACATCATTGAGGCTAGTTACATAATAGCATGAAGTGCTGCCAGGCAGATAGTCACCTGCTTGTCTTTTTGCCTATGCCTGGCTTAAGGATAAAAGGGTAGTCTGAAAAATATTAACAAAATTCTAGTGTATCAATCATTTGACATGTCATCACCAAAAGTATGCACAGATGCAACAATAATTGTCTTGAAAACTGTTTAATTTTATAATTGACTGTTACTGATTTTAATTTGCTGCTATATTTTTCTTACTGTAAGTCTTTGCACCAAAAAGAACCCTCCTTTTAATTTTGTCAAAATCACAAGTGACCATTTTATTGTCCATTGATCAGTTGCCAAAACTGCAAAATAAGCAGAAATTACTGGGAAAACTCAGCAGATCTGGCAGCATCTGTGGAGAGAAAACAGAGTTTGTTTCGGGTCCAGTGACCCTTTTTCAGAACTCAGTTCTGTAGTTCTGTGCAGTTCTGTAGAAGGTTCACTGGACCCAAAATGTTAACTCTGCTTTCTCCCCACAGATGCTGCTAGACCTGCTGAATTTTTCCAGATATTTCTGTTTTTGCTTATGATTTCCAGCATGCACAGTCGTTTGTTTTTTTTTTGTTTTAAATTAATAGGGCATATCAGTTATGTTTGAACGTTTTAATATTTGTAGCTTTGGCAGACATCACACCTGACAGCATCAACCTTTATAAAGATCAATTCCAATGCAATTATTGATCTATGTATCAACAGAGCAGTCTGACCTTAGATTTTTGCCATTGTTTTGATGGCCCACAAATCGCAACTTAACACGAAAGATATCTTCAGTATTCTACTGCAATTGAAGCATTTTATTTTCATTTCAGCCAATATGAGTGATTAGCACAGTGACAAAAAAGGATGGATTTTTTTCCCCCTCACTTGTCCATCTTGACTTCAAAGTTGTAACAGGCGGCAAGGGAACACCCCTGTAAAAATGTAGGTTTGTGACATCAAATCAAATGATAGCGATGCATACCTGCTTTCTTGTACCAGCTTTTTATTTGGCAAGCAAACACCTTGATTCTTCTGACATGACTTGCCAGTAACCTAATTTATACACTTAACTGTCAATCTTGCATGTTTTTACAAAGAAAATGTACACTGTATCAATGCTTTTTTTCATTAATGGAGAGTCTGCTCCTGACTAAGGCCTGCAATGAAAAGTTTACTATTTTGTTTTACTGATCTTGGGTAGCAATGTTGTTGATTATGCAGAGTAGTAGTGGAACACAAAGGACTAATTTTAACCAATTCCTAATCTAACTTTAATATTAGACACCAGCTAAGTAAAACCAGAGAACGAGAGAATCATTGCAAATCTGCATCGTGCTGCAGAAAACTAGATTTCTTCCCGGTAATATACTTCTGTTCTGTAGGATGAGCCCATATTTTCGAGATTTCTGTGGCTTTTTTGTCTTGATTTACATCGTCAAAGCAAATTTAAGAAGGTGATATGTCTACCTCAGGTACAAATTGTAAAATGTGTAGGTGTTTTTTCAAAAGATAAATATTCTTCTTTGCAATTTTCTGATAGTTATATTCTGATGCACAAACAATATGGCAAGTTATAAATACTTTATATGTGCAATGCGAAGTGAAAGCATTCTATAAATGGACAGAGCAGGGAGATCACTTCTAACTCAAGGTCTGTTTAACTACTTTTTGTATGCCCAACATAAACTATAAAATAGTAGTTTGTAAGTAGTTTTGCATTTGTAGAACTATGATTGAAAATTGGAACACTGTGTTCAAGTGCTAAATATTTTAATTCTAATCTGTAATCAAATAAAATATAAATGCTAAATTATTAGAAACTGCATCCACTCTTGTGTCCTGCCACTGTCAAAATAGGTTAAATACTGTCATGGGCACAAACGTCCATTATCTCCTTTACTTGTTCAGGACATGTGGATACCCCTGGCTAGACCAGCATTTATTGCCCATCCCTAATTGCCCATAGGGCAGTTAAGAGTCAACCACATTGCTGGGTCTGGAGTCACGTGTAGGCCAGACCAGGTAAGGATGACAATTTCTTTCCCTAAAGGGCATTAGTGAACCAGATGAGTTTTTCCGAAAATTGGCGCTGGTTTCGTGGTCATTATTGGATTTCTAATACCAGATTTTGTTTCTATTGAATTCAAGTTCCATCATCTGCCATGATGGGATTCAAACCCTGAGTCCCCAGAACATTACCTGTTTCTGGATTAACAGTCCAGCGATAATACCAGTAGGCCATCACCTCCCATCTGTCAGTGTAACTGAATTATGTTTCCAAGATAAATATGCTGTGAATATTTCTTAACTTCTTTTAAAGTGTAATTTGCTATCTCATTACATTATAAACATCTCAGACAACAGAGACTGTGATTTATGGTTAATAAGAATTATGTAGTGTCTGGTTCATTTAATTCTAAATTCACTACCCTTATTTACATTGGTAAACATCAAAATGGTAATTGAATACATCATTTTCAGTGGTTTGTAGTGGGTCTGATTTTGATGTTGGTATGGAGGAAAGCTTTGCTGAAAATTAGCACAAGATGCATTTTGGTTCAGTAGATTTCACAAGCTCTGTATCCACTTGGAGTGCTGATCCTTGTTGTGTTAGCTGTAAATTGCCTCTAGTCACAACAAAATGCTAGACAAGCTTTGAATAATAGTAATAATTTAGGAAAGAAATGGAAATAATCAAAGCATTTAACAAAATGCTTCCTTCCATTTGGCCTGCAGTACATTTGACATATGGTGCAAAGAGCAGAATGCCATTTCAGCCATCATGCTGCAAAAGCAGTGGCAGGATTAGGACAGTATGTAACAATTCGG